CAGCTGCTGGGCTTTTTAAGTAGCAGCATTATTTAAATGCTCCAGGTGGTTAGTTGGAACCCGCGGGTTAGTCAACCACACTTGCCCAGCAGTTCTACTAACCACAGAGACAACCACAGTTCCCGCAATCGCACGTTCTTTGCTCCCCATTGCGTTTGGGTCTATCTCTGCCCCTTCTCCTCGCTTCTGCACTGCTTCAAGCCCGTTCCTCGTCGTTCCCATTACTATTCTCTGTTACGTTCAAGCAAAACACTTCAATTGAAGGAGCCTCGGGGTCACCAATGCACCTGCAATCCCTGAACCCACTTGCCTTATTGGGTACATCCTTCTCACCAGCTTAAATCTCTTTCCTCGCTTTTTACTGACCTTTGCCATCAAAAGTAGGCACTGTTCCTGCCTCGTGCTTCCCTCGCTATCAATTCCCTCGCCCGCCCACCGCCCGTCGGTGCCATTTGATGGCATCAATCCCGCCCCCAGCTAGCCACTGGCTCTACCACCCTACATTAACCTCGATGGTTTGGGGCGGTCAGGGGGTCGAAATGGCGCATTCTTCAATGCGAATCGAATGCTGTATTCAGCTTTTTCTTAGGTGCGTTAGTTCTCGAGTTATGGGCCGAGGAAGAGGAGGGATTGCCAGCTAGCAGGGCAGCCAGCTGGCGCTCCCCCTTCCCACGGTAGGATCGTAACGCCACTTTGCACGTACCTGCTTTCAGGTCGTGCTAGCTAATTTGCAGAGCCGTAGCTGTAGCCGTTCTGGCGCTACGGCCTTCGCACCGCTCCCCTCCCCCTCCTTTCCCTCCTCCCCCCACTGTTCGCGCGCTTCCCCCCCTCCCGGCCTGTCGGGCTCGGTATAGGGGTTCTCGAGTATGCCAAACACGATGGTGTAGTCCGCTTAGCCCCGCGCGGCCGCGTTCTCGAGCGCCGGCGCATATACCCTCCCCTCCTCCTCCTCACCTTCCCAAAAATGCGCCCGCCGCATTTGGCCTCCCCGCGCTAATCCCCGTGGTGAAAGTTCGCTTTAGGACCCTGGCTACACGCCTGTGTGGTCACCGGGCTTCT